TAAACTAGAGCTGTAACAAGTATATAGACTAGAGCTGTAACAAGTATATAAACTAGAGTTGTAACAAGTATATATAGAGAGTTGTAAATAGTATATAAACTAGAGCTGTAACAAGTATATAGACTAGAGCTATAGCTAGTAGATAGATTGGAGTTGTAACAAGTATATAAACAGAGTTGTAACAAGTACATATATATAGATAGAGTTACAAATCGTATGTAAACTAGAACTGTAAACAGTTCTTTAGTTTATATTCTATTTATAGCTGTTTATAATCTCTATGTAGAAAAGTACGTCTTTGGTGTACATTTTTAGAAGAAATTCCTTCATTAATAAATTATAGTTCAATGTTGGTTTCAGTTTCTTGATTCCCAGTCTACTTTAATATTACATCTTATTCGTTGTTGGAGCTACGTATTATGGCAAAATTCGATTCAGTAGTAGTTCCATTACATTCTCGACATAGATATTTGAATAATTACCAACCAACTGTAGAATTCGTATATACTTTTATACGTTACTCTAAACAAAACGTGGTTGATCCCACACATTCCTGTTTACTTCGAGAACAAACATATCGATAAACAACGTCAGTGTGTGTGTGCGTGTGTTTTGTTATAGCAAAGCCACATCGGGCTATCTGCTGTGTCTACCGAGAGGAATCGAAACCCTGATTTTAGCGTTGTAAATCCGAAGACTTACCTCTTTCCTACCTGGGAACAAACAATGTAAGAGTGTCGAAGTTTGTTAATTCTGCCCTTTATCTTAAAGTTCTCAATTCTCCATACCGATTTTAAGGCAAAACACACGTAAATGTGCAAACAACTAAACAAACAAAAAGAAACAGTTATAGTTAATCCAGGCAAAAGGAATGGTGTAGTTATTTTGAATACAGAGATTATGTAAGTGGCATATTTACAATAATATTCCATGAAACTGAATTTTGATCCCTCGAAAAAGGAAAAAAGAGAGAGCTCAATTACAAAGATATTTGTTTAAAAAAAGATAATATTATCAGTGATAAAGTATACAAAAATATCAGTCCCGTAGGTTTTGTACGGTTTATCAAAAATTCATAAAAACAATTGTGTCATTAGAGTGTAGCGTTTCGTAACCGTTGGTTTGCGAACCCATAGGGATTTGCGTGAAAAATTTTGTAATGGCGTATTTTTTCACTTTTTTGGTTCTATAGGTTTTACCAATATTTTAATTTCCTTCTAATTTATTAAAATATTTACGGAAAGAACTAGCTTGATGCAGAACCAGATTTAAGACAATATTTCTCTTCTGTTGATCCGAACTTTAAAACGTTGTGTTCCTCAAAAAAAGCTCAGAAGTCTCGTTAGTTTTAGTTAAATGGTTTTCTTTTTAAATTTCTTTATTACGTTTCAAGCATTATATTTAAATTTTACTGGATACTAACTGATAGTTGATGAGATTTTATTGTAAACATGTTGCATACTAAGTGTTATTAAAACGTTTTATTTTCAATACATTCCACACTTTCAAAAGTTATTTTATTTTACAAAATTTATTATTGGCTAAAAGGGATTCGCTGCGAAAACTATTATTACTCAAGGAGTTCGCAGGTTATATAAATAATTTTATTAAACCTTATGAATATACGGTTAGGAGAAATTTTGAGATCATTAAACTATTGACAGATTTAAAATTTGATTAAAAAGTTTTTTTGTGAGTTTTGACATTGAATCCCCGTATATTAACAATGCTTTACAGAAGTAAATTCAATTAGCTGCAGATTTGGTTTTCCAAAACGATACGATCGTACAAGGTTTAGCAAAATCAGTTTTTATTGAGCTATTTTTCCGCTACACATCTCATAATAATAATAGTACTTATGATAAATTAAATTATATTGATATGTTTTACTTATTTTATGTTGATATGGATTTAAAATTAGTACCTAGCCTGTCAAATTGGTTTTTACGGTATCCTGAGAAACAGTGGTTGAATAACTGCCCAGAAAGTTTTAAACCTATTAAATACCATAGGTAAGTGGATGATACCTTTGTTATTTTTAAAGCAAAGTAACAAGTAAATTCATTCTTAGAGTGTTAAACAAACAATATCCTTGTAGTAAGTTCACAGATGAATAGCTCAAATTTGTCTTTTTTTTTTAGATCTAGGTATTAATAATTTCGAGATCATATCGAAGTAGGAACATATCGTAAACCAACGTATACAGGATCTTATAGTTATGTTCATAATTTTATTCCTGCTAACTATAAAGACAGTTTGATAAATATCGTATTTTATAGGACTTATCACATTGCCAGTAAATATTATTATTTTCTTAAAGAAATAAAAATCTGTTTCAGAAGTGCTACAACAAGAAAAATCGTCCAACAGATGTTTGTTTCCAAACGACATAACCTTCGTGCAAATACCTGTATACGTGGTATTGAATTTAATGATTCTATTGTGGTTGAAAACCTTGTGCTGCTAACTTCAAATAGTTGATATGTGTCGACTATATTCAAACAGTACAATTTTGAACAAGTGGGAAAAAAATTAACACTAGAATTAACTTGTCCTGACATTTTGGTTTACTCGACTGCCCATAGATGGCAATAAACAGATCTAGCGACAAAAATAGTTAGTCAGAGTGTCAATAATTATTATGAAATATGTAACACTAACATAAAAACATAAGTTGCAATTTTCTACAGTATTTTGAAATGCTTTTAAAATATTTATTCTTTTGTTTTATTAAAATTTAGTTTAAAGTCTACAATCCCACAGATCCACAATTAATTTTATGTCCTTCATATTGCATAAAATTGTAATTTGTGATGCCAGTTACTATTGTTAAATTTCAGTGGTCGTATGTTTACCGTAAACGTAAATCTACGCCCATTTAAATTCTTAACTGGTAATCGGTACTTGAGAAAGAAAAATTATCCAAAACCAAATTAAACCAATGGTATCACTAGCACATCTTAATACTTCCAACTATCATAAATAATTGGTTACACAGCTGTTTCACAGTAGTGGTCATATTTTATGTTTCTTGGAAAAGCTTATTGTACCAAATATTTCCGCTTGATATATTGCCTCGGCGTGTTCATGTGGCTAGCGTAGTAGACTGCTGATCAGAAGGGCCAGAGTTCGAGACATTCTGCTACCGAACACGCTTTTCACTTTCAATTGTAGGTGTGTTATGAAAGGACTAGTATTAGGTATTAGGCTAAGAGCAGTCGCTGGAGACTTCTCTCTGTTCCGCAATTCAAAATTATAAACGATTTTGCTTGAATACTTTGGTGACTCAGTGGTATGATTTCGTACTGTAAATAGAGGTTCTTACTGAAAATCAGCCTATCTGCTACAACGTGCGTGAGATGCTACCAACTAAGGGTTACGAGTTAACTTCGCGAAAGAATTAGTCTATTTCTTTGAGCAGAGAGGGATTTTCGATAAGGCAGATTGCTAGAACAATTAAATCTAACCAGTCTATTTAGCATAATACACGTGAATTTGTCAGAAAAATATTTGTATTGCAGAATAT